AAAAAAAAAAAAAAAAAAAAAAGGCAGCCGGAGTGCCGCCCCTTGGAAAGGGGCACCCCAAGCACATGCTTGGAGTGCTGGTGCCTACAGCTGGCCCTGCTTGGAAGAAGCAGCACCTCTGGAAAAGCCAAATCAGAAAAGAGAGAACTAGTGCTAAAGAAATCTGGAAGCAGAAATACATAGTGCTTAGTGACATCTGTGAATACCTGCAGCTCACAAAAACTGCAGTAGCAAGGGATGTTTAGTAGGTAGTTAACTTTATAGAGTAATAATGAAAAGGCTTTGAGCAACTGGATATAAACAAACCCGGCTGCAGGATTACAAATGATGTTATATCCAATTGACTATGGCAAATGAGAGCACGATTAAGAAGTGGAACTAATTTTTACCTAGCCTTGACTGTAATGTTCCATGTTTATTGCTTGAAGTGTCATTAAGCCTCAGGGATCCTCTTCCTCTTTCAGTCCAGGATAGTGAGAGTTTATTAAATACAAAAAGCTTGCAACTGATCTAAAGGGAAAAATGTTATGGAAAGTGTCAACTGATCTGAAATCTGTTGTGCCAGAGAATGCAGTTTATAGGTTTGACATCTCTGTGCTATAACTTTTTACTTTACAGTTTGCATAAAATTAAGACAAATTTTAAAAATGAAATGAAAATTGCACTAACCCCAGATTTATGCTGCGTACCACTACTAACCAGGCTATAGGGAACATTTAGCATAGAAATACATTTCACTTTTACCTTTTCAATTTTTAACCCTTCTCTGTGAAATCCACCAACATCTCCATATTTCCTGAAGATGTCCCAGAATGCATCATCCTATGGCATCACTGATATCAGAAGTTTCATGCAACCCATTGTACCAGTACTGTCATAAATTGAAGCTAATGACCCATCCACATCCACATTTCCCACATATAGATGGGAGAGTGGATTCAAACAATCTTACAATTTTATATCTTTCCATTTTTAGATTTTTGTAATATATGCAAGTGTTAATTTGCCAAGAAAATAAAGAGTTTTAAGAATCTCGAGTAGCAAGATTTATCCTGCTGGCCTAAAATTACAATGATGTACCTTAGTTTTATTATAAAACCACTTACTTTGATAACTCAATAGTTTAAAAAAAAATCAAACCCTTGGGTTTATAAAGTAACTTTAAGAGTACTTATAAGTTGGGGGTTTATTTATTGGTGTTAGGGAATACTGGCTTATTGTGAAGACTGTTATAACAGACAATAGCAGAACGAGGCTTTGGAGCATGATTTTGGAGGTTGAAAGAGCTCTCTATATTCAGTATAGAGAATTTACGATGAAAAGCTACATATCAGCTAGAAAAGAAATTAGTTAACAGAAGCATATTTTTTAAAAAAGGAAAAAGTATACAGTTGTCCAACAAAGAAGTAGTACATATATATGCATGGTATTATAAGTTACAGTAGACCATAATGTGCTTTCTAAACATAAGTAGAAAGACTCATCATGCAATCTTTAGGAAAATATACCTGCAACACATTATGTTCTGCTTCTTCCCCTGTTATAACTTCAACTTTATCTAACAAATATGTCTGTGCTGGTTTGGAAATGTAAGCCGCAGCTGATTCAATTAGTGTTGACTTCTTGACAAAAAATGTTTCTAAAGGAGAAATAAAAACAATAGAAAAGTCTAAAATTTCTACAGCAGGAATGTTTTAGTATGTCAACAATATGTCTTTTGTATGGTCTAGGTCTTTGTACGTTCCCTTTAGTGCTAGATATCAGTTAATGTTTTAATAAACTTCAGGCATTCCAGTATATTTTTTAAAGAATAAGACCACGATCCAAGGTTTCTGTATAGGCACACTGGTCTGTCCACAAGGAACAATTAGCAGGATCAAACCCTAACTAGTTAATAGTTGAGTTTCCAAATCAAATTCTTTTGTGATATTGCTGCTCAAAGTCATAATCATGAAAAACATAAGTCCCATAAATCATAATGGTAATAAGAAGGGTGTGAATATTCATCAGGAAAGAACATGAACAACTAGCTAAAATTGTAGTTGAAGTGACTTGTTCATAAACAATCTATAGGTTGAAATGTGTTCACAAAGTATTCATCACACAGTTTTGGATAACAAATAAATCTGTAAAACTCAAAGTCTATTCAAGGAAAACTTACAAATAAAAAAGTCTAAATTAATCAAATAATAAATTATTCGCTATGATGATAATCTAGCTCTAGTTTTGAGTCACAAACCAAATGACAATTGCTTTCTGGACACTTACATTTATGATGCACATCCTAATAGTATACTAATGACTGAATAACTTTAAAGTAAATACATGATCATTACTGAACACCACTAATTTGACGTCCTCTATGATGCACTGAAATTGACCTATTGGTACAGCCTCACTGTGTTTGTTTGCTAAGTAGTAATACTTACTACTATGTGAATAACTAATATGAAAAGTTTTGGCATCTGTGGATGTTATTTCTTTCTTGCATAGATCAGTTTCATTATGCAGCTTGGGAGATTTCTGAGGACTCTAAAAAATTGAAGAAACAAGGAAAAACAGTTTAAGAAATTGTAACATTTATATGTTTCACATTAGCAGCAAGCTGAAAGATCAGGAATGTATTGAATCATAAAATACACAGCAGAGGTGAAGATTAGTTGAAATAATAGGTTAATATGCAAACTTTACTCCTACATACAAATACTGACATAGGATATAAGTAAACAAATGTTTGGTATTTCAGTCAATAGTGGAACTTTGTCCATTATTATAAAAGCCCCAAAAAGGTCATTAAGCAGGAACTGCAGTCTCTTCTTAAGAGAGACTCTGAGCTAGGAGAATAAGCTTCTTTCAATTTAAGTTTAAGGTGATCTGATAATAAAAGTGGAGAAGTTTAGTAGGTATCTTTCCAAATTAATTCCTCATTTTACAGATCACCATATATACCCCAAATTTTAAAAAGGCATTGCAGAATTTAGAAATAATCACTCTCTGAGATATTTTAAACTATTACATTTAGCTGATTCTGCAGAGTTACAGTTTTCTCATTGTTCACATCTCCTGTATATCTGTATACTGCTAATCAGATATTTTCTTGGGAGTCAGAGGGGAGAAAGCCTACAGCTCTGAATGTTAAAAAGTCTGAAGTGGTTTGAGCTATAACAGAAAATTGCTAGAATTGATTTTCCTACTGAAGGGCCAAGTCTAAAATTTGGGCCACCTAAGTTGTGCCCATGAAATGTGCGCACAAGCCAGCTGAGCATACCCAACAAGTAACTGCCTGTGCAGATGAGCACTGACATATATAATTACCCATTTTGGACCGATCCTGTTAACAGCTATACATGTTTAACTTTACTCACGTGACTTGACTTCAAAGTGATGACTCATGCATTTACAGGACTGGGGGCTTTGTATATACATATGACAAATGTTGTGGTCACAATTTAGGTGACCATCTTGGAAAATGTGACCCTCAGCATTCAAATGCCAACTTTTTCAGAAACAGAAGAAAAATTTCAATATTTACAAATCTTACCAAAACTCTCTCTACCATGTTTTCTCCAAACACAAAAGTAGAATTTCTGTTGTTTAAAAAAGTTACATCTTCAACTGGCTGATTTCTAGAGGAACAAAATAGGTGAAAAATATCAATTAGACTTTGTAAAAGATGCAAATATAACATCTATAACTGCATACATTTACCTTTCCAAACCTTACATTAAAACAAAAATATTGGCCTACTGGGAACCATAGAGAATACTCCATTAAAGGAATTTAGGGAGATACATTGTATTTCATGTAGAATAATGAGACTGTTCCTTAAAGATTAGATAGTGGCAAAGACACAAGCCACTGTTGCAGCACCCCAGGAGCAGTATAGGGAAAGAATCATGCATCAGAGAGGCACACTTCTCTCCCTACTTCCTCTTATTCCAGCAAACTGCTACCGTCCCTATGTCGGCTTAGCTGTGCCAGCCATCAGATCCACCCACTCCCCTATCTTCTTCATCTTCTCCTTGTCCATCTGCTTGGGGAACATAGAGGGGCAGGTGCACAGCTTACTTCAGCGTACCTATATATAGATTATGTCAATGCTGCAATGTAAGCGTGGGTTCAGACCAGGGTTGAGCCCAAATCCTCCTTCTGTCTACACACAAATCTCTCAGACTCAGGCTTAGACCTAGGGTCCTAGAACCCTGCAGAGATTGAGAGTCGAAGCCAGTGTCAAGCCATGACCCAGGGTTCAAGCCCTATTGCTTTGAAGTACAGATGCAGCCCTGCTTGACTTGGGTCCTGGGAATCTGCCAAAAGTATCCCATAATCCCACAGGCCACCTTCTTTTGTCCTCTCTATTGCAAAAATCTCCAAGAGTTGAAAATGGAAGCCCCCCACTTGGCGAACAGCAGCAGTTCAGTGAGTCAGCTTTAACCCTTCCATTTTCTTCTGACCACCAAAAGGAAGGGATGCAGATCAGGATAAGTAAAGAACACGTCAGAGATCTTTTGACCAATTTGAATGAATTCAAGTCAGCGAGCCTGATGCTGTTCACCCCAGGGTACTGAACGAATTAGCTGTAGAAATCTCGGAGCCACTGGCAATAATATTTGCAAACTCATGGATGACAGTAGAGGTCCCGGAAGACTGGAGATGGTCTAATGTAGTGCCCAACTTTAAAAGGGGGGGAAAGGAGGAGCCGGGGAACTGTAGACCAGTCAGGCTGACTTCAGTACCTGGGAAGCTACTAGAGCAACGTATAAAACATTCAGTTAGTGAATATCTGCAGGTTGAAGGGCTAATCACTATCAGACAGCATGGATTTACTAAGAAACAAATCATGTTAAACTAGTTTGATTGCCTTCTTTGACAGGGTAATTGGTTTGGTGGATAGGGAAAATGCGGTGGACATAATATACCTGGACTTCAGCAAGGCTTTTGACGCAGTCCTACATGACATTCTGATAAATAAGCTGCAGAAACGTGGGCTTGGCGGAACTACCATTAAGTGGATACATAATTGGTTATACAACCACAAACAAAGAATAACTATTAATGGAATGATGTCACATTGGAAGGAGGGCTCAAGTGGGGTTCCACAGGGATCTGTTCTGGGTCGAGAGTTGTTTAACATCTTTATTAATGACCTGGATGTAGGTGTAGAGAGCATACTGATCAAATTAGCAGATGACACAAAGCTAAGAGGATTTGCCAACACTTTTGAGGATAGAGCTAAAATTTAGAGGGATATTGATAAATTGGAGAACTGGGCTGTAGACAACAAAATGAAATTCAACAAAGACAAATGTAAGTTTGCTACACTGAGGGAAGGAAAACCAAATGCACAAATACAGAACAGGGGATAACTGGCTTGACAGCAGCACTGCTAAGAAGGATCTGGGAGTTGTGGTGGATCACAACCTCAACGTGAGTCAGCAATGTGATGCTGTTACAAAAAAGCAAATGCAATTTTTAGTTGCATTAACAGAGGAGTCACGGGAGGTGATAGTATCACTCTACTCAGCACTGGTTAGGCCTCAGATGGCATACTGTGTCCAATTTTGATCACCAATTTCAAGAAAGGATGTAGAGAAACTGGAAAGAATCCAAAGGCGAGTGACAAAGATGATCAAAGGGATGGAATGCAAGCCATATGAACAAGGCTGAAGGAACTGGGTATGTTTAGTTTAGAAAGGAGAAGATTAAGGGGGGATATGATAGCAGTCTTCAAATACTTGAAAGGCTGCCATAAAAAAAGATGGAGAAAAG